GTGTGTTTTTACCAGCGATGTCCTCCCTGGCGATATCCTCCACTGGTGAAAGACCTGCCCTTGGTGAAACCACTCCGAAGCCGAGTGAGCCGCCGCGGTGTCCGCCGCGGGATCCACCTCCGTATCCGCCGCGGGATCCACCTCCGTATCCGCCGCGGGATCCGCCTCCGTGACCGTATCCACCGCTGGAGAAACCTCCGTGCCCGCTACTGCGGCGTCCGTGGCTGGATCCAGCACCGTAGCCACCACGGGATCCGCCACCGTATCCGCCGCTGGAGAACCCACTGTGTCCACTGCTTCTGCGGTGTCCAAGGTTAGATCCACCATTGTACCCAGCGCTTAGGGACCGTCCGTGTCCATAGCTGGACCTGCCTCCGTATCCACCACTGGAGAATCCTCCGTGCATGCTGCTACTGCGATGTCCAAGGTTGGATCCACCTCCGTATCCCCGACTGGAGAATCCGCTATGGCCACCCTTGGATCCGCCTCCATATCCACCGTTGGATGCACCACCGTATCCAGCGCTCAGAGACCTCCCGGAGGATCCGGTGCTGTATCCTCCACCGTGTCCGCTGCTACTGCGGTGTCCAAAGCTGGATCCACCTCCGTATCCAGCGCTGGAAAATCCACCATGTCCGCTGGTACTACGGTGTCCAAAGCTTGATCCACTTCCATAGCCACTGCTGGAGAATGCTACATGCCCGCTGTTGGATCCACCGCCGTATCCAGCACTCAGAGACCTCCCGTGTCCAAAACTGGATCCTTTGCCGTAACCACCGCCGGAGAATCCTCCATGACCACCCTTGGATCCGCCGCCGTATCCAGCGCTCAGGGACCGTCCGTGTCCAGCTGTATATCCAGCGCTATATCCACGGCTGGACCCAGCGCTGTATCCACGGCTGGACCCGCCGCCATGGCCACCGATGCGCCGGCTCCTGCCGTGACCGCCGCGTCTGCCGGCTTCACCGTGAGGTGCTGCGACGAGCACCAGCAGAGCCACCAACAGGAGAGCTCGCTGGAACACGGGGGGGGGGGGGGGGCGTCAAACGGACACCTGAGCGGAAACACCCTATTACCAGGATACAGGTGGTGACTTTTTGAACAGATGGTGGCGAAAAGTGAATTAAGGTGGATGTATGAACGCTTTTGTGCTAACCCGTAAATCCGGGAATCAAAAAATGAAATTTTAAAGAAAAGTTCGCTAGTAAATATCAATAACAACATAATGTAAGGGAAGCGGGGGGAGCACCGCCACCTTAAGCATTTCTGCTCACCGAGCTGATATGCGTAGTAAAAACGAAGCTCTTTTGCATTCATGTGAAAGTAGGAATGTTTTCCTACATGTTGGCATAGTTTCCAGCGCTCTATTATAAAATTTCGCTACTTTACAGACATTGAAAACAAGTCCTGCATTTTCCGTCCTCCAAAAAATGTGCGGGTAGCACCGCCACTGATGGCGATGTTATCCACAGATCGGCCTTACGGTGACAGCCACCCTTGGAAGCGTTACTGCTGTCTGAAATAGTAACTCAAACTCATATAAGACACACAAGAGTTGGTTGTTAGTTTGTCACAGATCAGACTGTTTGTTGCGGACAATATGCATACAAAGCATGACAAATTCACGTTTATTTCGAAACATCCAGTGAAGTCAAACGTGAGGTTAAAAAACAGACGACGTTTGCGGCCTAACTAAAGCTCTTCTCCCAGCTGAGTGAATCATCATTGCGGCTTTATCCATTTTGCCACCCCTTGGGGTAGCGCCGCCGAGCATGGCGGTGTTACCCACACACAGTCATGGACCGACAACGCCCCGACAGCAAAACAAGCCGGGACGCGACTCTTCTGTAATTCCTTTCTAAACAAAGAGCACTTCATGCCCTCAAATTTAACGTAAAAATCAAGGCATTTTGACTTGAAATGACCACTTACTTGCTGCTAAAACATGCCAAATGATTACAACGATGGTATGAAATTCACAAAATGGGCAATTGCGATCTCAAAATCAAATAAATCTTAGCGAAACTTACCTCACGCGGCGTCCCGTTTCCGTTCGGACACCGAAATGGCGGGTGTTTACATTTACAATTCAGAGTTCTGCCGATAGAGAGGATGGCGGTGTTTCCCACATGGCGGTGCTACCCCCGCTTCCCCTATCAAAGGATATTTATGAACACAAAAGTGCAAATGCGTGTGGATGTTTACTCAGCTGTGTCGCTGTGTGTGCTAATTGTAAGCCTTACCATCGGCGCCATTTCTGCGGTGAGCTCCGCGGCCGCTGGGGAAACTGCCTCAGCAGAGGAGATGGCGATATTTATAGTGCCCCCCCCCCCCGACTCCCCTCCCCACAGACGGTAATCGGGGGCGTGGGGGGTCACAGGGGTCAGGGAGACCGAGTGCCGCCACCAGAGGGCGCCCACGCGACTATCGCTTTGGATTCGCGCGAAAAAGGTTATTAGCTTCAGCGACGGAAGACTATGCAGAAAGATATGTTCATCCGGACGCTTTAATTTTAAGTGAATAGATATACACCTAGCCTACCTTTATAATGGACGATTTTTTATATTTTGGTATGTTTTTGGTAAAGTTAAATTATAAGTTAAGCGCGTCTTTATTGCACAAAATAAAATGAATTTAATTTACCAGTGCAATTGCTGTGGCTTGATTGTATCCAATCAAAGGTGGGATGCGTACAAGCTTTTTTGCATGGCGTTTAAACAGATAGACTGAAGATGGACATTACATTATCCTCCAAAATGTCATCGCTGTTCAATCTCTCTACCAAATGTCATTGACAAAAAGATGTTTCGTAACCTTTTCATAACACTGCATGATCTCAAAAATCGGGTCCCACCTACGTTTGCAGAGGCCTGAAGCAAAAAGTGCAGTTGTTACTTTTCTACTGACTTCACCCGCGAGATGCTGGGGGGGGGGGGGCGTTAAACGCCCTCACTTTTTTCGCCCCGCCATAGCATAAAAACGGCGCGCCACCTGACATTGGCCCTGACCTATGCTTGACTGACCCCTATACATGGAGCTGACACTCTGTATGCCTTATATGAAGGATTGTGCACCGTTTTGACAGAGTTTATGACGAGAGGCGCCCATTGCGAAGTCCTGAAGTCCATGCTACTGAAAGCCCGATTTTAGGTGTTTGACCTGACCTTGACCCGACCTGTGACATCAAAATTCAAACAAAATTCAACAAAGTACTCAACTGAAGCGTCTCGTCGCGTTCTTTCGTTTGCCGCCTCTTGCGTTTCGCTGCGCCTATTGGTTCTCGAGTTATCGGCTGGGGGCGTTTTACGCCCCCCCCCCCCCTAGCAAACGGCGGGTGGCGAAATACCCCAGCAACTGCCGGGTTAAAATGGCGACGTCGCGAAACAAATTAGACCTTTGTCACCGGCATGAAATTTTGTGATTTTTTTCATAACAATCTGTTCTCTCACCATTTTTCTCTTTTAGAGTTATCGCTCAATCGGTGTAGTAATGGAGTGAGCAATTCTGCTTTGCTGATGTGAGGTCACTGGACATGAACATAACATTGGCATATGAGTTGAGGCTGCCGCTGACCTTTGGTCATCTAGCTCTAAAATTCCCATAACCCATTAGGCATTAAAATGTAGGTGTTGTTGCCTACCTGATGTATGTATGTAATGTAAGGAAAACTTTTCCCAACACGCTGGTGGGAATGATCAAGCGTTCCCCGTTACAGGGAACAAGTGAAGTCTTTGATTCAACCATTATCGTGCGTACGACCCTCCAGCAAAAGTGTGATTGGTTACTCATGGTTATCCGATGTGTTTTTGGTAAAATAGCTTTGAATGACAGAGTCACTCCAGCAAATGACTCAAGAAAAATTAGAAGAAGGCTCATGCGACTTCGGCAATGGTTTCCAACAACTATTAGATGAATTCATCAAAATAGATCGACAGTTGTGATGTTGACAAACAACTATTTTTACCTCGAGGGCCGCACGTATCTCCCAACTATGCTCAGTAAGTCTAATGAATCCAAGGAAAGGTTATTGAGTTATCTTGAGTATTAACCCTCGCCGGACCTATTGGTTTTCTACATACGCACCGGCCGAGGGGGGGGGGGGGCGGGTACGACCCCCCTCGCCGTTTCGCCCCTGGTGGAGCTAGCGCGTCGCAAAAAAACGAGCGTGTGCGCCGTTACGAGACGCAGAGATTGGTACCCGATTTTAAGGTCCTAGGTCAACCGGTGACCTCTGAGGTCAGGTCAAGTGTCACAAGGTACGGTTCAGTTTTTGGTGAATAACTTCGCAAAAAACGGCCGCAGAGCCGCGATTTTGGCAGCATCGTGTTCGCCTCGCTCAGGCGCGTCGATTGATATACTTTTTGTCCGGGTCAGGTCAACTTGGGGTGTTGACCTCAGGTCAAGGTCAGGTCAGCACCCCCAGGTCACGAAGTTGGTCGGAAGAGGTCATGTCGCATATCATTCGATTCGGCAGGTCTTCCTGGGTCCATTGGTGGCTTTCCCGAATAACTAGCTCAATTTGATCAAGAGTTATTGACAAAAAACTAATTTGACCTTGATGACGTCATAAATGACGTCACGCAAGGTCAACATTGCAAAAGTGACGCATCTAACCTTGCAAGGAGTGCATCAAATCACTATTCCGTGTGCTTGAGATAGTTGGAGATCGTTCCCGGCGCCAGAATAGCAGTTTTCATTTTTCCCCATTGACTTATAATGGTGAGGTCACGAAAATGACCTGACCTCATATGACCTTTAGGAAAAATCCGAGATATACAAGTTGTGAGACTCATAATGGATACTAGATCCTGCAAGTTTCATTTCCCTGGAACATCTCCTCTGGCAGTGAGGGCGTTACGAAGTTGCGACATCTGAAGACCGTGCAGAGGTTCACTTATGACGTCATAGGTCAGTGACCTGACCTGACCCAAAAATGCGGTTGGTGTCAAAAGATGCGGCTTGGATCAAAGGTCAGGTATGCCCAGTTTCAGCTCTCTATCGCCAGCGTGTTCGGAGCTATCGCGAAAAAACTCTATGGGGGTGGGCGGCACCCGCCCCCCCCCCCCTCGGCCGGCGAGGGTTAACACCTCAATCTAATGCATGGTAGATTATGTAGCCTCTGACCTGGCCCAAGCGCGCTGAGGTCAAGTTCCAGTGCCGTGTGACCGTTTTTGGGCGGCAGATGGACCGCTCGCCGTCTGAAGGTCGGTGAGTGCCCCGGGCGATAAGCCGTTCCGAGAAGGAGGGACGCGCGGGAGGCCCTGGTCACACCCGCACCGGTCCTGCCGCGCTCAGGGTCACCGGCGCGCCATCTGCCGCCCCAGGCTACACTGCGGCACCGACTGGGGAGTTACTGACGGAACCAGGCGGGGCTGGGTCTGAGTCGGAGCGAAATGACTTCCTCATGACTGACAGCCTTGAAGAGAGGGAATACCCCGTTCGCATGAAGCTTTCTACAAGCACTGCGCAATAAGTTACCTATCACATACGTGCTGAAACCTCTGTAGTCTTTGAACAAATTGAACACACTAAAAACATGCAAAACTCCTTTATAAACATGATACTATGGTCGAAAAAAATGACAAGGCAGACAAAAGCACACCCAAAATTGATAAAAAAAAATACAAGAAAACGAAGCATGAGAATGGATAGAATTTATGGCTTGCTATGCCATATGTATGAGACTGATATAAATAAAGCCGCACCACTGTTTGAACATGACTGACAAGTGCATGCTTAGGTTCTTTGTCGCTGCCCATGTTTGCAAGACATATCTTCAGAACGACGCGTTTTTTCTCCAATACGATTCTTGAGAGAAAAGAGCGCAGCTCTTTACTCGGACATCAACACTCATGCAGCAGAGCTCCAAAGTGTCCTTAGCAACGGAAAACATGTAGGGTACCTACCTACAACGACAATTTTCGAAATTTGCATAGTTGCGTTTTTCACCGGGCTATAACATCATAACATATAACATAACAACTTTGCACTAATTCGTTAGCCTCCATTCTTCCCCTTCTTAGCAGTCCACTACAAATATTTACTGTCGCTGAAAACACACGGGGAGAAAAGGAATACATAGGTAATGCGAAACAACACCGTTTGCCTTTCACATGCATCTCTAGCCCGGCAGTTGCTGGGGTATTTCGCCACCCACCGTTTGCTGGGGGGGGGGGGGGGGCGTTAAACGCCCCCAGCCGATAACTCGAGAGCCAATAGGCGCAGCGAAACGCACGAGGCGGCAAACGAAAGAACGCGACGAGACGCTTCAGATGAGTACTTTAACCCTCGCCCATGTAGGGGGGTTGGTTGGTGCAACCCCCCCTAAGGCTTTTCGGAAATAGTGCAAAAACGGCGCCGCCAAATTTTGGGTACCTTATGGGGCAAACCTTGCGCATCTTTTGATAAAAAAAATTTGACCGGGTCATGTCAGGTCACGGAGTTATGACGTCACAAAGGGAACAGCCTCCGGCCGGATTTTCACAAACTGAGTGCCAACGCCCGAGGTTTCCTGCCGGTGGTACGGACATCGGATGATGGATCGTGATGAAACTTCCCATGCATGTTGGGGCAAGTATTGGCTATCATATGGTATAAGAAATTTGACCGGGTCAGGTCAGGTCACGGAGCTATGACGTCACAAGAGGAACAGCGTCCGGTACTATTTTTGAAAAGCGCCCGAACCACTATTTTGCTAATTCTTGTCACCTCAATGGGAATATGCAGCAATATTAGCTTCTATAGGGAGCAAATGGACCTCCCAAATCCAAAAATACAATCAGATTTCAAAAATTTAAATTTTGATTTTTCGAATTTCTGCCGCCGACTGTGACCTTGCCGACTTCCGGCGCTCCCAACGCGCCATTTTTAGAGCTAGGGAAACGAAATACATACCAAACGATAGAGATTGATCAAGGAACACGATAGTGAAGGTTTCAAGTCGATATCTCCCACCGTTTTGCCGCAATCGCCGCGGAAATTTGAAAAAAAGTCTATTTTTCCGAAAATTTGACCTTTGACCGGTCAAAAGTAGGTCAAATGTTGACCTAGGACCAAAAACTATACCACCAATCGCGAGATCTCGGCGATAGCAATCCGTTGGTCTTTTCCGCTAAGCTCTACGACGCTCCGTTTTCAAACGCCAAGGGGGGGGGGGTCGCACCAACCCCCCCCCCCCCCCCTGCATGGGCGAAGGTGGCAGATCGCCGTTTACGGGCGAGGGTTAAAGTTGAATTTTGAGGTCACATGTCGGGTCAAGGTCAGGTCAAA